CCACTAAATACTCACTAGCACCCATGTTAGTAATAATGCGAACCCCTCTCTCGACCGCCAGAGGTAAAAGCAACAGCATCCATTCCGAAACTGCACACATGTTGACCTTCTCAGCACACACATTGACTAATCCTCAAAACTGGTCCTCACTGTCACTCGTCGAGCGCTCACACACAGGTTAAAACGAGCAACATTTACAGAGAAAAATAAAGGCAACCAACAATTCACACCAAATTTCAAAATCAGCAGCTCAAGAAATTACTAATACATCAGTAATTTGTAAATAAAGAAAAAACAAAATGTATTAAAAGGAAAAAGTATTCATACTGCGAGGATCGTAACCCTTGCCACCGGCCTTCATGGCACCGTGTCGCTCGGCCAGCGTGCGTTCAGCCAAGCACTCGAGCACCAGGTAGTCTAATTCCTTCACTCTCTTGAGCATTTTCAGTGCCGCCAGCGGCCGATCGCCGCCGAAACCGGCGCCGCAGCCTATGACCACCTTCTCCTTCCGCCGTCTCGGGTTAAGCCTCTGCCAATCGAAAACAATGGCCGAATTAGGGGAAAAAACAAAATCGTTGAATATTGATTGGTTCCCATCACATCGTATGTGTACATAAACAAAATTGTCTGATGAAACAAATAAGAGGCCGTCACCAGCTTAACTACGCAGTCGTGAGTCTCTGTGGTTGCATTGCCCAGCTCCTCCATTGATGTCCCTAATCTGAAGGTTGACGGAGATGACGTGTTGATAGATAATCGGACAATAATGCAAAACTAAAGAAAATTCAATGAGACAGAAAATCTGCCATTTCGATTTTTTGCAGAGTAATGTTTATTATTATTAGGGAAATTTTTTTTAATGTCATTTTTCAAGAGTTTGCCATTGCCATACAAATTTTATTTGTTTGACAATTTGTCTTTTAATGTAATTGAAACTTACAATTTGTCTGCTCAGTTAATAACCATAATATGGCACAAAACAGTTTCTAACTCAATTAATGATAAAGCGCGGTAGTGCTAGTGTAGGACATCTTGACTCGTTTGGGTACTTGGACCACTGTTGTTCACTGACCAAACACCCATTGCACCGGAACGCAATACGTCTTTGCTTTCCCAGTACACCGGCCCTCTGCCCGAGCTCTTTTTGTGCGGCGCATTTGACTTTCCCCTATTTCTATTTGAAATGAATATTTATAATTGATTTAGGGCTTTTAAAACCCATGGCGAGAAGAACAAAATGAGGTATAACTTGTCGAATTCTGAAAATTGATACTACTGTAATCGATTCACAAAGATAGTAGGAGCACGTGTGCATAGAAAAAATTCCAATTCAAGTTTTCTGATAATCGATATATCCGATTTTCGATTGGGAGGTGTCATTTGAAAGCTTGTATGACCAATTTTTTAGCATGTAAATCTGATGATAATCCAATGGTCAGATTTGATCAGTATTGAGAAAACTATTGATCAATAGTTAGCTTTTCTTTAGGCTACTAACCAAAATCTGACGTTGGATTTTCATAAGATTTATTTCGATAGAAAACTCGTCCTCCAAGCTTTCAAATGACACCTCCCAATCGAAAATCAGTTATCCTGATTACCATAAAACTTGAATTGAAATTTTTTCTATACACACGTGTTCCTACTATCATCGTGGATCTATTATAGAGGTATAAATTTTCAGAAAACGACAAACCGTACCTCATTTTGTTCGTCTCGCCATGGGCTTTAAAAGCCCTACATAAATTTTAAAGATTAATTTAAAATTTATCATTAATTGTGTTAAAAGCTCTTTTGTGCCATATTAGGGTTTCTAATCGAGGAGACAAATTGTCAGTTTCGATTACATTGAGAGACAAATTGTCAAAAAATAAAGTTTGTATGACAAACTCTAAAAGATGACATACTTTGGGAGGTTGAAAGAAAAATTTTCTATCATTATTATTATTAGAAAAAATTACACCTTACCTACTTAGTTGTTCGTCTTTTTATACTTTGCCTGCATTTTTTTTTTTTTTGCACTTAAACTGTATGAATATGCTTTTTTGTGCACCGAGGAGGATCTGACGTTCATGATATGCGAGGTTGTCTTATTCTATTTTGTGGGCCCATTTTTAAACTCGGGGGTCAACATACAGGCCCCCGAGTTTGGATATTCCACGGTTAGTTGCTTTTCTAATGTCGTACTTCAGATTCATTTCCTATTTGGTTTGGGCCCTCAATCTTGGTTGGCGTATTCTTCAAGACGATTCACATCATCAAACATTAATTATAACATCTCAAGGGTTTTTCTATTTATGTGGCGTGCCACGATTTTCATAAATGCCTAAAAGGCGCGCAGATGAACTTTCGTTGCATGATGTGGCCTCGATCTGAGTCGTTGATCGTGTTTTCCAATTTTTTCAAATTTGACTCATTGCTCCACGTGGGTTTTTTCTTATTGGTCGAGGGTCTGTCTATAATTGGGCCTTCTTCTTCTTCATTTTCTCCTTTTTCACTTCTACAATTTCAAACTCTCTTCTGCAAATTCAGAGCCTTAACACAATCAGTTGGAAAATTTGCGATTCCTCCAGGCTTTCTTTGCGCACCTCTCCTGATAGTTGGTATTCGCCACAAGCGACCTTTTGCTCATTCGTACAACTCATGAATCTAGATATCTTTTCCAAAGCTAGGAACCAATCTTCGACAAAAGTCAGATCTTCTTGGCACGTGAATGCTGGTGGATTTCCATCTCATAATCTTTTCACTATTCTCAATTGATCTTGCACAGGAGCAGCATTAACATTATTTCCACCATTGTCCATATTGTTGTTATTTCTACAGTTACCCTCTCAACATCCTCGATATCAACATGTAAAATTATTTAAAAATAAATAATTATATTATACTCAAATCGTAAATAAAATATATTTTTTGAAATTAATTTTAACTAATTAAAATTTAAGGGTCGGCTAAGGTTTTCGAAAAATGGTTATTGAGTAAATAATTCAAGGCTCGGATGAATAATAAATCAAGGCTCGACTAAAATTTGAAAAAGGGTCGTCGGGTTAGGTCTCGGGTCTGGCTAGCTCGCTGCAGGTGGCTCACGGCTACACCCAGTTCCATGTCGGGTCGCGCCTGGCCTACTGGTCGTGAGCTGGGAGGCTGTCGGGGTGCTGGGATGCTGTCGGGTGGTGCACTGGGGCGCTGGGTCGCCTGGGAATGTTGGTAGCATTGCGCGCTAGGGCTAGAGCGCGGGTGACAAATGGGTAGCCCGTTGAGAGTCCGCGAACGAAACACGGGCTGCCTGGGCGCCCGTGAGCGGTATTTAGGTCACGCATGGGAAGCGCTAGGAGCATCGCATGCGAGCGGCCTCAGCATCTACCCGCGAGGATCACACGAGCCTACATGCACCGGGCAACACTTGGAGCACCGTGCGGGCTATGCGTGATTTGGACGACACTGCAGTTGCGGACAGTCTGGGTCGGGCCTGTGGCCTTTAGTGTTGCCACTGGGACTGGGTTCGGTGGTTCGAGGGTTGGTTCTAGTGGTTCAAGGGCTCCAAAACATTGTTCGGTCTAAGGTAAAATTTCTGGAAAAATGGTCGTTTTTGGCTCTACGGATTTCAATCAAAACTTGAAGCATAAGATTGAAATTTAAAGCCTTACCTTGCACCGGGTTGAAGAAAATTTGTAGCTCAAAAGCTGCTCGGGGTTGTTGAGAAACTCGACTTCAAAGCTTCTCGTAACTCTAAAATATCTTGCTTCAATTAGTATGTAGCCGGTTGGTTTCATCTTTTAGGCGAATACTTTACGCAATAAACCAGATACTATTTCCTTTGATCTTGCACACATTAGAGGATTACTCAAACCACTTTCAAAATCTGCAAGCATTTTGCCTGCACTTCGTGTACCTCATTCCGGGATTGGCTGGCGTACATTACGTTTTCAATCGAACAACTGTACCGCAAAAACAAAATACTCCAACTTACTTTTTTCGACGAGCTTGAAGAACTTATTTTTTCTTTTAATATGGTTGTTTGATATGAAAAATTTAGTAATGCTAAGGAGCCAATAACCAATTATACAGCTCCATGTGGGGCTGCCCACGTGGAACTGTTCTATTGGTGTTGGCTCCTTTAGGGAGCCAACAGTTGGCTCCCTAGCATTACTAATGAAAAATTTGCTACCATAATGTTAATTTGTTGGATATCTTAGAGCATCTCCAATGCTCAAATGTTGTTGTGGTAAATTACATGCCACATCAACACATTTAGTAATATTGCAATTATTCATCCTCCAATGTGTAATGTAATCACAAATGTTGTGGTGATGTGGACATAATTAATGTCCACAATGTAGAGACAAATGTGGTTCATCCACATTCTCTTCCACACTCTTGCTAGTCAATGAAAAGAAGAGAAATAAATATTCTTACCATTTTTATATTAATTAATTATTAAATAAAATTTTCTTACTTCTTATTAAAATTTTAATATTTGGCAAGTAAATAATATTGTAGATAGACTATATTGTGCATTGGAGATGATTTTTTAATTTCAAGTTGTGAACTTAAAATTTTTCCTACATGGTTCACACTCTATTTAATTGATTGACATTTGTCATAATTTATTTAATAACGATTTTAGAGCATTGGAGATGCTCTTATAACGTGGTGATTGTGTTTATGAATTTCCAGCCATTTAATAAACGGTCAACTCAACTGTTGGGACCATTTCTAAAAAAAATAAAATAAAAAATGATCAAAATTGCCAGTAACTAAATTTGCAACGGTACGCTTACCAATTTTGCAATTTCCTCCCAAAAACAAGATTCTTCAAATTACTCAATCTCCTTTGCGTCCCCCAAATTTCTGTTCGAAGATATACATTTCGTTAGCAATCAATTAGGATTCACAGCAATTTCATCACTAGTTACAGCAAGTATACGTTCGGAATTTGTGCATTCTTTGCCAAGTGGTACAATTCTTTTGATCGGAGTTTTGGTAACTGAGACTTCTCGATGAGCTATAGAGCGAGGTATCCGCCGCCAGGAATGGGCGGCGGGAGAGGTGGAGTAAACCCGAATGCGGGGCCAAACCCTAATTTTCGACCGAGAAAACCTACGCAGCAGTATGTGCAAAGGGGTCCGCCGGCGAGTAATCAGAATCACCAGTTGTATCAGAGTCCTCAGCCGCAACAATGCCCGAGAAGAGCTCAGTTGGCGTCTGCTGGCTCGAACGTTGACAAGGTGAAAAAGTTTGTTCAATCAGAGAGGCCACTGATTCCAGGTTAGATTTTATTTTATTCGTGTTGTTTTATGTCTTTTTCTGCTGATTGGAGTGAAATTATCTTTGCGTGTGCTCTTACCAGGGAATAAGACATTAGAATTAGAACTTGTGCTTAATATGAATTCTGTCTATTATTTGTGGGACTTCAGTGATGGTATTTTTAAGTATTGATGCCTCTTTGATAAGCTGGATATTAAGCACTTGATATTTGTAAGTAGAATCATATGAACAATTTTAATGCATATTCAACTTCCGTGGAAATCAAGGGTTGGTGTTAAGTGGAAGTGTGGAACGGGGTGTTGGGACCTTAAGGGGCGACAACTTGATGTTTGAAAGTCTAGCTTGAGAGGTTTGGTCAGACGATTGCAATAATATGGAAGCCGCTTATACATGTGGATGGAAGACTGGCTAGTGGCGTTTGGCAATACATATTTGAACCTACTTTTACATTTTTGGCAACAGTCAGCATGAATTATGTAGCTGGCTTTAATGCTTGGTTAATCTCTTTTCCCCTTAGTTTGACATCAGTATTAACTTGAGACCTGGGTGAATTGTGATTGTCTTTTTCTTTTTACATTTAAATGTTTTACATTCTTAATGACAATTTTCTCCTGCTAGGCTTTATTTGTCTTTTAGGATGTTACAGCTACTAGAGGAAATGAATTTGAAGACTACTTTCTGAAGCGTGAGCTGCTTATGTTAATTTATGAGAAGGGTTTTGAGAGTCCGTCCCCCATCAAGGTGGAGAGTATCCCAATTGCTCTAACTGGAAGTGATATTTTAGCTCGAGCTAAGAATGGAACGGGAAAAACTGCTGCATTTTGCATTCCAGCATTGGAGAAAATTGATCAAGATAAAAATTCTATTCAAGGTTTGTAGTATTCATTGGAAGCTTCTTAAACTCGCGAGATAGAACTGTTTAATATGCAAGTTCGTCTATTAAGTGCTGTCTAAGATCCTTATCTTGCTTTAAATATTGTCGGTGCCTAAGTATTCATGAACTTACATGGTTGATCTGTTCGGTGGCTGTACTTATGTTTAGTTGTATCCTTTGTTTTCTAATTTGGTTCCGTACGCTTTCATCTTTGCAGTTGTCATTCTTGTCCCCGACAGAGAATTAGCACTTCAAACATCACAAGTATGTAAAGAACTTGGGAAACACTTAAAAATTCAAGTTATGGCTACTACTGGAGGAACTAGCCTGCGTCGTTGACCCTATCTATGTTTCTATGATGGCCCAAGAACACGGAAGGATTCTTGATCTAGCAAGAAAGGGCATTTGCATTTTAAGTGAATGTTCTATACTTGTAATGGACGAGGTATGAAGAAGATGTTATGCATCTTTCCACCTGTTATTAGACCATGTTTATTGATGTGGTGTTCAGGATGCTGACCTCACTGCCACTCATTTCCTGTCATGCTATTATTTATCTGAACTGTTGATTATGGTGGTCGTCCTTTTTTTTTTTTTTT